TCGAAGAGGATCCTACTACATTATTAGATTCTAGTGCTTCTTCGATCGTAATGCATGGGATGTCCATTTGGTTCTCCTTCCCATCGTGTCCTTTCTCTTCCTTCGTGCATGGGTTATTCAAGTAATCATTGGAATCGTCAATATTCATGTGTTCTTCTGGGTTTTCCTTTGGACATATTTGTCTGTTGGATTTGCTTTCCTTTTTGGGATTCCTCCGTGCAGAAACGTCGCTTCCATTTTTGGGTGCAGAATTTTTTCCTCTTCGTCTTCCCCCGTTGGGAGGATTATTCAAGTGATTCTTCTCCTCCATGTCAATTGGACACTCCAATTTCTTTTCCGTTCCATCATGCAATGAGCTTATTTCAACCAGATCTTTATCTTCATCTGTTTGTTTCTTTTCCTCTTTCAGGCCTTCATTTTTCCTGGAACATTTTCCTTTGTCTTTTTCTGGAATCCCATTTTCATATGTACAGTTGGAATTTTCTTCTTTGTGCTCGTTCCCCTCCCTTTGCTCACTAAGGTGGGTGTCTCCTTCGTCCTTGAGGTCAACGTTATTGCAATTATCAGTCTTGAAGTTGGCCTGATCTTTTCCGTTTCGGTCCTCCATGAGGGTAAATTCTGTCTCAGTTCTGAAAGTCGCATTAGCAGTCTCACTAGAAGTCGCATTAGGAGGCACATAACTCGCACAATGCGCACGCCTAATACGATTCCTACACGACTTAGCCGTCAGAGTACAGGTGTTATCATTTCGATCTGCGCGGATGTTGCCACTATGACCAGGCGAGTCAGTCCTATGGACATTGCCGAAAAACATGTTATTCGTAGAAGAATCATCTCTGTTCAGAAAAGAAAACCTCTCCTTCCTTGTGTCAAGCGCAGGAAGCGATCTATATCTACGTTTATGGAAGCTGCTCATGTCTTTTTTTTTCTTCCCTTTGCTGACAATATTAAAAGATATGGAATTGTCTTCACTATGAATTTCCCTATGATTGTTCCTTTCTGTTCTTTTATTTATAGTTCGTGATTTCTTCGACACTTTTCTGCTTCTATTTAACATCGAATTCTGTCCGTTTCTCTTGGGAGAGTAACAATTCGGTGCTTCTTCGTTTGAATCTCTGCTTAAATTATTACGCTGGTGCAAAGTCTTCTCCTCTCTAGACAGGTCACTCTTCTTTAAGATGCCTAAATTGATCATGTCTGCAGCACTTCCTTGTGAGGTATATACCGCATTAGGACCATTTCCACTTTCGCCTGATGCGCATGGGGTGAAAGATTCCCCCTGCCTCGAATTGTCAGTCGCGCTATCTCCACAGGGTCGGTGTTCAGATTGGAAAGGTTCTAGCATTGTAGTGTCCCGGGGAGTCTTTCGCTCAGTAGGTTTGTTGCTCTTCGGCTGCATCAGCGGTGCTTGAATTGCTTCAATTGCTTTGATTCCTTCGATTCCTTCTATCGATTCGATCATTAGTATTTTTGCCTTTTTTGTTTTCTTTTTAATTGCCCTGTCACCTTATGGCTCTTTGCGTCTTATTCTTTACCTACCGTTTTATATTTTTTATTTTCCCGTTTACGTGCTTTTTGTTCGCACCCACCTACGGGGTAATAGGCCAGTTCTCAGCGGGTCGCCAGCGGTGAATCCCCCTTCTCCTAGGCGCTTGTTTTTGCTTATTAGAAGAAGGAAAAAATGGGATTTTCTTAAAATGACCTATACTTCAGGCTTTAGCTTTTGACAATTTTTGCGCTTTTTTGGATTCTCCAATTTCTCCAATTTTCCGATTTTTCGATTCTTCCAATTTTGCCGATTTGGCCCTTCTGCATGTATTTGCCTTGCTTAAAAATGCTTATTTTCCCTCTGGTTAGTTTCGCACTAATTTGGGTCGCCCGTTCGGTTGATTCTGTTTGTTCAGTTGGGTTAGTTGGATTACTACGATAAGTTTGTTTGTTTTAAAATCTGTTTTTTTTGTTTCATTGCCTTTGTCGGGGTGGATATAACTATAATATCCCTATCGATTGTCCACAAGGAAATTTTTTTCCTTAAAATATAATACAACTCAGTGCTATTTGAGTAGATTATTTCTTTTTGTATCCCCCTGTGTGCGAGTGGAACTTTCCACTTTTTCTGTTCACGCACCGAGTCAAAAATAGCATGCAATTCGCACTTTGCTACTGAGCGTGCAAGCATGCATGCGCTAATGGGCACAAACATATACATATATAAGCAGTTATGTATATGTAGCTACGTACACATGCACACGTATGTATATACACACTCGTGGCATCTTTTATGTTCCCTTCTCTCTTCATAAATTAGCAGAGAGTGCAAACATGCACATTAAGCATTTCACGATTGAGAGAGTCTCTTTTTCCACAATTGTACATCAGATGGGAATTTTTTTTTTTTTTTAGTGAAATGACTTTTTGGCGTCTATTATATGTGCATAATTTCGCCTTTTAAAAATTATAATATTGGAAATGCTACTATAACTGCTTTTTCTATTTTATTTTTTTTTTCTTATGGTATATAAAGGCTGTGCAGGGAGGAATAGCGATTAGTGTGTATAGCCAGGGGGGGTTCTGTGTTTTGTGAAGGTAACAATTGGTGAAGGTAACAATTGATGAAGGTAACAATTGGTGAAGGTAACAGTCGGTGAAAGTAACAATTGGTGAACGTAACAATTGGGTAACGTAACAATTGGTGAACGTAACAATTGGTGAACGTAACAATTGGTGAACGTAACAATTAGTGAAGGTAACACTTGGTAAGGTGAACAAGTGATGAGGCTGACAATACAAGAGTTCAGGTTTAAGTAGTTCAACAATTCGAGAGTTCATAAATTAGCTAGTTCAAAAATTAGCTAGTTCCACAATTAGGTAGTTTAATAATTTGTGCAAGCTTACGGGTCATGAATAATCGGATAAGGAATAAAAGGTGACAAAAACTTGGATAATAAAAATGAACTTGTGTTAGCAATAGATATACAATTACGATTTGTCAAGGGGGAATTTTAACTCATCTTAAAGTTAACATTTGTATGTTTCATTTGCAGCAGTGGAAGCATGCATAAGTGAATGCGTAATGACAGGTGTATATATCTGAGTTAATTCTCGTATGCATTTCTACCCAAGGTCATTTGCGTACAAGGAGAGGGACTCTCTTTTGAGAGAAAGGAGATCTAAGAAGAGAAAAAATTCCCTCCCTCGCCTTCGCCAGTGTGACAAATCACTAACCACAGTGGGCAGTAATATCTGAGCACTTTGAGCTTAGGCATTTTCAATTCAAAATGAATTTAAATATATATAAAAAGATGAGGGCCAGCCTAATGCACACCGAAATGTTTAAACAGATCAATATGCAAACATATATAAATATATAAACATATAAATATATAAATATATAAAAATATAAATATATAAGAATATAGAAATATAAATATATAGGTGTATTGGCTATATATAAATATAGGTATATTAGGTATATATTTAGGGGTATTAATTTAGGGGTATCAATTTAAGGGTATGCATTTAGGGGTATGCATTTAGGTATTCACGTATCTATACCATTAGGTATGCACTTAAGAGTATACGTATAAGGAGTGATGAAAGGCTCATGGAATTAAAAGCGTATTGAATTAAATAGAAACGTAAAAAATGTAAAGCATGCAAACGTACGCAATATGCACGAGTGCATATGTCCCCTTTGAGCGCCTAAAAGGAGTGTCGGCGATGCAGGAGAGAACCATGGCTCCAAAAAATAATCCCTATATAAACATGCAGCAATACTTGGGTGATAAATTGCACAAAAATTGATATCTTTTAAACGTTAACGGGGGGTATAGGGCATACATGTGAGCACACGTTGAACAAAGGGGAATCTCTCAGGAGGAGCGAGATGTGGGAGAAAAGTGTGGAAGCCAAGTGTAGAGGGGGCGACAAAAGGCGACAAAACAGGGACAAACTGGAGACGAAACAACAAACGAATGACAAGAAAACTGAAAACATAGTGACGGAGAACAAAAAAAGTTTTTAAAACAATTTTCTACAAAAGAAAACGCGCACTAGATTATCAGTTAATCCCCCGTGGGAACCAGCGTGCACATTAAAAAATTATACGCCATACGCGGAGACGTGAGCATGAAAATGAAATTATATGCAGCATGCACTTTTGAATCAGAGAGTACGAATAGCTCAAAGGGGAAGTATGTGCATATATAAAGGGATACCCAAACGGTACATAAGTTGGGTGCCACAAGCGAACTAACGGAGAAGAGAATGTGAGGGGCATAAGCAAAATAAGGGGAACACACTAAAAGAGGGAGCCAAGGAAGATAATGGCACTACGTCAAGGTGATGATGATACACAAAATGAGGAAGCTACGCCAGATGATGGAGCTAAGCCAAATGATGGAGTTACGTCAAACAATGGAAAAACATACGGAGTATGCCAAAACGAACAGGGCTTCCGTCAAAAGATGCGGCACCAAGCATACGTACATTAAATGAAAAAAACATGAATGAGGAGTGCTCTCAATAAGGACGTGACCTCGAAGCAGCAGCATGAGCGCTCTTAGCCGATCGAAATATCTGTATTCTAGGCGTACCCCCAAAAAAAATGGAAGTACGTAACATACGCATATAAAGATACATATATATACGCATAGACGCCTAAAAGCACACATATACATGTGTATATGCGCATACCTCTACATATGTGTATATGTATAGGTATGTACAAATAGGTACCTACGCGTATACATATGTATAGCTATGTACAAATATGTACCTATGCATTTAGATATACTTCTGCATGGCAGTGAGCACGTGCCACTTTGGTGAATAAAAAAGTGGCCAGAATGGAATAGTGATTCACTTTACAGAAATAGAAACTGATGTATGCAAGGTTAAAGAAAAAGAATTTTTTTTCCTTTAATAATATGAAATTGCATATAATGCCAGTTATGTGATTACATTCTTTATGCATACGGAATGGGCAGTCGTCCCTAAGTAGGCATATGAACGTAAGTTCCATTTCGACATCCGTGAGCACGATCATTTAGGCTCTTAAAAATTATATAACTTCCCTGAGTCACTAAAATGAAAATTTTTTTATTTGCTCCGCTTATGTGTTAGTATGCATGTGAGGCGGTGTATAAATAAGTAAAAATAAAAAATAAACAAATAAAAAGAATATACATACCTACATAATATACTTGTATATCTACTTATATACTGCTACATGCTGATGCAGGAGTGCCTCTCCCATATGGCCCTATACAGCTCTCCGGGCGCTTAAAGAGCTCTTCCACCTATGTAGGCATACTCATGTATTAATGACCCCGTAGGCTCGGGCACCAATATATGCAAAAATAAATAGGCCAAACGAGGAAGATACGAAGCATTTGTGCCATCAGTATACGCATCCCTTTTTTTCCCGTGCATCTCAGCGTGTGGAAGAATTGGCAAAGGAGCATCAAAGTGAACATGCATTTTAGTAGGCACTCAGTCAGCCCTCTCACTATCGCTCGCTATAGCACCCGTAGCAACCCTCGAATGGGGCCTTCTATGTATCCCTCGCCGAAGGTGCACCTAACATCTAGAGAAGGTACATCTGACTATGGCTTCCGGCGGGGGAAGTCAAGAAGTAATACAACAGCGACCACAACAAAAAGTACAACAACAAGTATTTGAAAAAAAAAATATCAAATGACAAGTATTTCACTCCATTAAAATCTTATGTGTATGAGATACTGACAACTTTGCAAATAGATGTCATATTCTCACAGTCAGCATGCAACTCCGGGATAATAGGAGGTAGAGAGTTCGAAGAAGCCATCGCAGAAGGAGTAAGCGGCGGGTAACAATTGGGCACAAAAAATAAGCGCAATTTTTTAAGATTATACAACTAGGAATAGAAAGCAAAAAAATGAACAGCCGTGACAAGTATGACAACAATTGTGATAACAGGGTTGATAGAAAATTCAAAATGTGTGAACTGTTCGGGCTACCCCAAAAATGAACCAAAAAAGGAGAAAAAAATAAAGAAAAGGGAAAAAAAAATAAGAAAAAAAAAAGGAAAAAAAGAAAAGGAATATATTCGTAAAAAAGATAGTAATGATGCAAGTTCCTTCATGGAACATTTGCTAGGAAGATGAATAAGCTCATCAACGCTACCATACGAAGGTGAATAATATCACTAACGCCACTGTATTAACATGAGTCATCTTACAAAATGGTCCGAAAATGAAAAATAACTACCCCAAATCGGAAATTTATATGCGTAAAAAAACATAGAACAGGTAACTGAGAAGGGGAGAAAGTGGATGTCCTTGTATATCCAGCCGCCCACCCGTATACAAAAATGGGAAGACGAAAAACTTCTTTTCATGCTTATCCCAAGGTCATACGGTAAAATTTATGTTTCCTTATTCATAAAATATTAAAAAATGTATGTATATAAGTATGTAATTG